GGTTATGAAGAAACAAAGAGAAAAGAAAAATAATTGAAATTAAACTTCCAAAAATAAGGGCACTAAAAAATTAAAAACATTCCGTACTTCCTACTTCATAATTTTCCATTTTTCAAAAGAAAGTGAATTTAGAATTAGAACGAACCGATCTCTTATAACTTTTATACATGGACGTAATTCACGAGTGTAAAAATGAAGCAATTGATTATCCAAAAATGTAATAATAGCCTTGATAGCATGGTCAGCTAAAAATAAGATAATAGTGATAACAAAAATAATATTGTTAATGTTACGTTAAATGTTAAAATAAATAATATTATTAATGTTACGTTAAACACAACAATTGCGATTTCAGTAACATTTCGCATGATAATAGCAATTTCGGATAAACCCAAAGTAGAATCACAAAGATTACGACATTCTCGATCATACCATACTGTATAATTGTAGTCCGATTTTTACATGTACTTAGATGATTATGTTATTCACTATCATTGTACTGGTACTTTCAAGATTTTTTCCTAAAGATCACGCTTCTAGCTATTTAACGCTACCAATCAAAAAGGTTAAACCGACAAACCAAGAGTCAAATTATAAAAAAAGATGTAAAATTGAACCATTTCAAACCATATAGTGACCTATTACAGACATACTATATATTCGAACAAACAAAAATAATCCGATATTTACAATAACACACTTAGATCACGCTTTCAGAACCATTTTCGAATCTGATCCAATCAAAAATGTTAAAGCGTACGAACTCAGAATTAAATGACAAAAAAGAAGATAATACAGTTAATTAATAAAAATAATTAAAAACATGTGACAACATTAATGATTAACTTAATAATTTTCGATTTTCAGTATAGTTTTTTATTTTTTCTAACAATGAGTAGCAATGAATTTATTGCTTTCATTTTTCGATATTTTTCAAACGTTAAGACATACAGAGACATTAATATATGTGATTCTTTAGCTAATAAGAGTTTTAACGTTCTGTACATCACCTTTAGCAGATTTAATTGGCCAATTTTAGGTTCTGTAATCTATTCAACTGTTAAGGTTCTTATTTAGTATAAGTGGGAATATAGAATTATTTAATATAAAAAAATTCTAACTCTAACTCTAATCTAACTATAATTTAAACTACAACCCTCACCCTAACTCTAACTATTTATAAATTTGTTTAAATTAGTTCAAATGATTATTTTTATATATTATAATCTTGCAATATTTCTATATTCCCACCTATACAAATATCAACCTTATTGACTTTCGTATAAATGTAAAGCACGAAAGTGATAAAGTTCTTCCGTTTACATGAAAATTTCAGAATATATGCAATTTATTATTTCGGACAACTTTATTTATAATATAAATATTAATTGACATAGTAAAAATTTTGACTTTAATATGTAGCCGATTATATTTTAATTTTTTTGTTTGGCGACAAACTCTGATTGGCTAAAGGGTAATAGAATATCAATTAACACATGTTAAATGACCTTCTAAGTCATTTGGATTCGAAATGACCCAATGAATATGTATACATTATTGGGCAAAAATTTGTGAATAACGGCAATTTGGCTCAACCGGACAAATGATATTGGCTGTCAAGTGCCGCGAAGCGGCACTTGTCAGCCAATCATTTGTCCGGTTGAGCCAAATTGCCGTTATTCAATAATGGTGTTATCCGATAATTTATGATCATGATTGGTAGGGAGTCACTCGCTGAGTTTTTTTTGAATATTGGAAAAACATAATTACATCGTAACACATGAAAAAAAATAACAGAAAGAAAGTTTTTCATGATCATATGAGTTTGTTGGATAAAGTAATTTATTATCTGTCAAATATGGAAAATTTAAATAAGTAAAAAGGGATAGCAGTATTCATTACAGTTTGGTCAAACGTTAAAAGATGGATTGTATTTTATTACATCGAATCAAGGTATCAAAGTATTTGTTTAAAAGCTTCTTGCATTAAAAATTAAATAGTAATTTTTTTTGAATTGGATTTAATTTGTTCATCGAAATGGTAACTCACTTGGTTAATTTATTCATTTTCCGATTAATTAAAAAGTTATCTCCAGTGAGGTAAGAAATTAAATAAGCGACTTTTTGTAATTGGACCTAAATTAAGAACCCCGAATTACTATTTGATTTTCGTAATTACCGTATTCTTCCGAAAAAAAGCACCCCCAGAGCAATTTTTATAGCCAAATTCTCGTGTCTATTGGATCTGTATAATTTTGGTACCATTTGAATGATAAGTCGATTCGAATGGTACGTACTAGATTCAATCACTAGGTCACGAGAATTTTGGAATACGCAACCAAATTTGCCAAAATCTAGGGTCGGAGCTGGACCTGCATTAAGCATAATACTACTATAATGCTAGCTAACTACACTATAGCAAAATTAATATGTAGCTGCGCAATTTACTTAATATGAATGCTGTCAATAGAAAACCTGTTATCGGGCTTTCAATGTTCAGTTGGCTTTCTGTATGCCGTCTATGGACAATCTATCGATTGCCCATAGATAGGGGTGCTAAAGCCATGTACCCACGTGAGATAGTTTAGCATTAGGGCAGGGGTTAAGGGAAGGCTAGAGTTATAGGTAAAATTGTTCCTCAACATTTTTTGTTAATGGTTTTAGATTGCCATTCTTTACATATCGGCGGATTTTTGGAATTTACTATTAAAAACTCCAAAAGTATTTAACAGTGGGTAGCTTTTGATCCACTGGTCCGTTTTCAATGAAACAATTGCCAAAATGTTCGCTCAACGAGACGATTCTAATGGTCCCAAAATCGTCAAAATCCGATCGCAATATCCCGATATCGTTAATGATTTGTTTCACTTCGGGTGTTATTGGATTGGTTTAACCAATCCGAAAACACCTGAAGTGATCAACCTCAGGATCCTGTGATTGGATTTTAACGATTTTGGGACCATTAGAATTGTCTCATCGAGACGAACATTTTAGTAATAGTTTCATCGAAAACGTCCAGTGGATCAAAAGCTATTCAATGTTAAATATTTTTTGAATTTTTGATAGTAAATTCCAAAAATCCGCCGATATGATATTTTGCATTTTCTTTATTTTTTTAACTTCGGGCTGATCCGTGTAAACAAATTTCGCGATCCCGGTTGGTTGATTTACACAAAAATTTAACGTGGGTACATGGCTTTAGATGACCCCTAAACTTGAAAGTCTAAAGTTTCAAATAATTTCTATACATTTTGGGTTCATACATTTAACCTATCTTTTTTTTTTATCTCAGTATGTTATTTTTCTTTTCATTTTATTTTTTTATTTCCAATTAGCTATCCTATCTTATACTATTGTAATTACACATTATATCGATTTTTATCTATCAATACCGTTGTTAGTTATTCTATATGTGGGATCTTAATTTGCAGAATCATAGTCTTGCGTTATGTTTTTTAACAAAATCACAATATGATATGATCATGCGATTTACGGATATAATAACGCATGGATTACCAGAATTTGGTCGATCTGCTAAATTTTGGTTTCGCGATTGATCTATTCCGATTTACGACGTATCGAGTTATCTTAAGCATGGATATTTGGATATTGTACTATATAGTTAATTAATGTATCATTGGTTCTATTTAAACTAAACATTAGGTTGATCCTAATAAGTGGCGTGATGCAATAAGTTCTAGATGCATAACGATAATACTACGCACAGCAGAGGTCTTTTTCGATTTTTAACAGCTGCCCTACCTTGTTTGGTGCGTCGAAAGTGCATTGGGGATACATCAAGTATAACCTATGTTTGCATGAGGAGACGAATAAAAAGTAAAGTTTCCAATTATATAATATAATTGGAAATTTACTTTGTATTTGATACTCAGGAAGATGCTCTCCTCATGCAAACACAGGTTATACTTGATGTACCCCCAATGCACTTTCGACGCACCAAACAAGGTAGGGCAGCTGTTAAAAATCGAAAAAGATCTCTGCTACTACGCACTACTTAATTTACGCGTAACGGATTTTTTGAGTGAATTCCTAAAATGATAATACTTTGAATCAAAATTAAAATTTTATTGTTTAAAAAAAAATATATTACATTCTCTTTACAACTTTAAGAGAAGAAAATAAGGAATAAACGGGAAGTTCATGGGTTTGTCCATGAACAAGCCCGACAAATGGGATTGTCCGATCATGCTTAAAAATCCCATATCGATATGGCAAAAATGGACAAATCCCAAATAAGTGTCTTATCTCATATTTAAGCAATCAAAAAGTAACATTTGATCTTCTGTCGATCCACGTAATATAGACAGTGTTTAAAATCTATATGCAGAATCTGCGTGCGCGCAAAATTTTCTTGGAATCTACAGATTTTATTATGTATTATGCATGTCACGCATCTTTTTTGTTTTATTATATTTTTCAAAAATTATTAAGCTTTTTCGTATAATGATACAAAATTGAATTTTAAACACTGAATATAGATCATCTAAAACAGATTGACATTTATTCGCGTCAAACAAATAGCAAGTTTTTGATTCGCTTTAGTTTCTTTCAGTACTAAAACTAATTAGATTAGAAATTTTTATTATTATTGCAAATATGATTTTCATTAAGCCATACAGTGTCAGAAACTGTTAAACTACTTCAATCAAGCAACTTGTTATTTCTTTTGATAAACTTTCGCTTTCACAATAAGAAATAATGAGTGTAAAAGGCTGAAAGCGAATGTTTAACCTTTTACTTAGTTCCTGAAAGAATTGGAATTGATAATTAGTTTCTGGTAATTTCAATAATACAATAACAGAGTAGTATGTTGTGCCTCAGATTAAAACTTGCGTCAAATTGCAGCTGACGCATCTTAGATGACTATCATATACAAAAGTACGACAATCATTATTTAAATATTAGATATAGATTGCACTGTACGTACGTAGGATGGATATATCAATAGAATAACAATTTGACATTAAGAATGAGGAAGGTATGGAGTGGATTATGGGTAAATGTAAACAATTTTTACGGTTCATTCAGAATAATTCGACTGCTAATCGTATAAAAAAAGAACCAAGCGACGAGAATCACTTTTTTTACCGAAATATCTTAGTAGATAAGAATCAAAAGGTCGGAGGCGGTCAAGAAGGTAAGCAACCGCTTCTAAAGGATTCAGATCAACACTCAATTGCTCCAACACGTAATTACTCATATTAACCTAAAAACGGGTTGAACTTTTTGAAATATAAATACATTTTTATTCATCATCATAATATCAAATTTTGCAATTCTAGTTGGCGAAGAAACATTCATTGAGATTCTTTTCAATGAGAAAAATCAAGATGACTATCAGGAGATTAATAATAATGAACTTTCACTTGAAAAAAAAAAAATCAAAATTTACCCGATCTAAAGTTAACACTCTCTATAACGAACTTTATATCGTTTACGGTAATATCACCAAATTTTCAAATTCCAAAAAAATTATTTAACTTTTACAATTTTTTGCCTGCCAAGTCACTATAGCTCAAAAAATATTAGCATAGGTATCTACTATAAATTTATATAGCAATATAGTTATTAAAAATTAAAATCATGATGGGAAGTGAAGAAAACTTACTAATATTTATTTTTTTAAAATAATCCATTTATTCAAATATACTTTATATCATAAATTTTTACATTACACTTTTTTTTTCACCGTAAACATTTATTGTAGACAATATGTGATACCTCACAGAGGTATCTTCACAAAAAAAGTTTCTATTACCCTACACTCAAATCATTCAAATCTCTAAATACAATTAATTCCAATATAAATATTGAATCATGTATTTGTGTCAGAAAAACGATTTAATAATCATATCTTAAACTCTTTAGTAATGTGTCTGAAGCTATTTTATTTATATACATATTTTAAAGAAAAAAAAAAAAGAAAATATTGAAAACTTTAATACTAGAATATTTAAATCCCAAACATAATAAAAATCATTTCAAACATACAAGAATAGAACTCCATCTTTTTAATGAGTATATCCAAGAAAACGTAAGGTAGGGTTCATTAAAGGATAAGTTTCACCTAATATACCGGGAGAAACATCAGATAGGTCACTCGCACCTTTAAACTGTATGATAATATATGGAACAATTGAATAACTAGTAATTTCATTTGCCATAATAAGTGAAGATATATCCTCATCAATATTATGTGTTGGATTATTGATGTCAAGTTTTTCTAATAACTTCTTAGCTCCTTTAGCCGAAACTGCATAAGCGTGTGTGCACTCCGGCTTTCCAGTTTTATGCAATACATGAACAGTTAAGTCTGTTTCAAAGTATTCAGATTGACGACCAGCACAATGACCAAGGTATAGCATATCCCAATCATAAGGTAAATTTTGATGAACTTCTGCCATTATATCGGTAATGTTAAGTTCTATATCTATGTCATCTTCTAAAATTAAAGCATTTTCATATTCATTCTTGACAATTAATTCAAGGGTTGAATAATGACTTAGATAACAAGCTCTAGTACCGATATTTAAATCACTCCTATTAAGTCTGCTAAGTGCTTCATTATCATATTTACTAACAGTTTTTATGATTTCGAAATCTAGATCAAGATAACTTTCTAAAGCTTTCATTCTTTTAAATCTATCTATTCGATAATCAAGATTAATAACGTAAATGTGCTCAAAACCAAGGGTGCGAGTATAATCTGGTACAAAGTTAATAAAACGATTAAAAAATTCTAGGAATATGAATGAATTGTAAAGTAATACAAGGAAGGTTAAGAAGCCGACAACCGGCCCCAAGTTTTTTTGTAAAGATTGCGCCATTGAAAAATTAAGAAAAAAAAAAAGTTTTCGTTAGTTCCTTTAAAATTTTAAACTTTTACGTATGACAAAGCAGGGAGGAAACCTTTTTATTTTTGCCCAAAGTGCCCATACATGCATACTTATGCAATCCCCAAACATTATAAACGATCGACTGCAGAAATCAGCCAATACTAAACATACGCATAAACAAAATCAAGATATACACATCATATCGATATAACATTGCATTTAATATCAAACCTAGAATACGTAGTACGTACTCCAGATTAACTCGAAATTATGTATTCATAAGCTAAATAAACGCAAATGAGCAAGATATGGTAACACAAATAATGAATTAAATGAAAGAATGAATAGTTTAAAGGGAGCCCTAATTTCTCCCCAAGTTGTGATTGGACGCCTTAATTGGATAAAACTACCCAGCGTACCAAAATGACGATAGTTGGCTCTCTCACAAAAAATTTTCGGTCACGTGATCGGAGGCCAATAAAAACAATATTGAATTTTTTTTTTATTCTAGCGAAGATTTCTCAGCAAAGAGTTGATTAAACTCTGTAGAATTTTTTTATTTTGATTCTATACTTTTGTAGAATTAAAATAAAAAAAATTCATCGAATTTAGATGCTGTAGATGGATGTTGCTAAAAGTTTTAATTAAAAACATTCGAATATCAAAAATCGGGGTAAATTTTCTTTTTTTTTTAACTTTAAACGAAGATTTCTCAACAATCATCTTTATTTTAATTCTGTAATTTTATAGAATTAAAAATAAAATAAAAATTTAAAATTAGCCGCAGCTTCTTTTTTATTACAGAATGTCGAAATACATTAATTTTATTGGTCAACCACGATCACGAGAAACGTGCTTGTCGAGTATAAGCTTCCGGCACAATATCCAAAATTTTGGGGTCGGCTTTACAATCATATTATTAAAATCTATAAACCTAATTTAGGCCAATTCCGCAAATTCGCCGATATGACTACTGTAGTAATATCGACTATGTAATTTAGTTAGGGTGAGAGTAGATTAGCGAACCCAAAATTCAGGGTTGAAATGGTTGAATTTTTGTCTAAATTGCTCGGTAAAATTAGAATGTCTATGCCACATTTAGCGTCACATGTGAACAATTAATACGTCGTTGCATATCATAATGCCTATAAGGTAAGATTAACAACTTTTTAAAGACATGTGACACAATTATTGCGACATTAGCAATGCCATGATTACCGATTGATTATATGAGTAACGCCAAGGGAAAATGGAACATTGGTACATTGGTTTATTAATTATTATTTAAATAAATAATCAAACCAATGTCCCATTTTCACTCATATAATGGCAAAATCAATTTCAGATGATTTTGAGCTTAAACAAGAGTTGCAAGTGAAACTAAATTAAAGAGATGCATCAATTTTCACCAATCAACCTTGGTGATATTGGTGACACTAATGATACTGGTAATACTGATATTGATGAAATTGGTGATACTGGTGATGGTGAAACTGGTGAACTGTTGTACTGGTGAAACTGGCGAAACTAGTGATACTGGTGATATTGATCATACTGGTGATACTGGGATTACAACTATACTTCCGCAAAAATTACTCGTCCCAAATCCTAAATCCCAAATCCAATTTTAATATGGGTTTTGTCGACCAATTTCGTATAAGTAACCAATCAAGTTCGTAGAAAATACCAATCAAATTTGTAAATTTTGATATGTTATTGATATCTCGCGATCTAGTGATCCGATCTTGGTGATTTTGGTACCATTCGAATTCTCTCACTAACTGCTAAGAGAATTCGAATGGTACTAAAATCATGATATATCAAATTTTACAAATTTGATTGAACACGAATTTGATTGGTTACTTACACGAAATTGGTTGACAAAACCCATATTATATTTGAGATTGGGACAACAGTTTTACCAGTTTCACCAGATCACCAATTTAACTATTAAGTTGCATTATATTTCACCAGTTTCACCTACAACTCTAGGTTAAACAAATTTGCTGATTATAAATAATTTGTAAAATGGTTTAACTATTATTCTTAAAATATGGAAAAATTTGTTATATTTGCTTTTTCAGGTCTCTTTCGCGGTCACTGCACATATGACACTATTTACAATATCAGTATATCCACACCACACAATACAAAATGTCAACCTAAAATATATATTATTGGTGTAATAACTGCATTTCTCTTTGTCATTCTTTTATCGTTAATAATCCTGCAAAGTACTACAAGAATACCGTTTAATGAGCTTAATGATAGTCTGCCTAAAATAAATTATAACGAATTATTAATTGATAAGCTTAAGATCAAACCTACAAACCTCATAGAGTGGAAACAAAGGCATTATTTAACAAACTATTTTAATAACAATAAGAAAATTAAAATATTTATAACTTTTGGAAATTGGTACGATAGTAAAGACTCACTAAGGCTCACTTATAAACCTGATGGAACCTTAGTTTATTGCGATATACCATGTATCTGGGAAAAAAGAAATCTAGGTGAATTATATCCTGTAGAACTTAGAACTGCTGATGCCATTTTTAATGTTGACTATATGTCTCTACCAAAGACGAAAGCATGGGACGGGCAGAAATTTATAACGTTTACTATAGAGCCTAAGACTCATTGTCCGGCTTGCTACATATGATATTTATTCTTCATTTGATGAAAATTCAGATATTTCCACAAGTTATGTTCGAACTGATCCTGAAATATGGAGAGCAACACCACCTTTTAATATAACAACCCTTTCCACAAATTCAACGCTTATCTCGTTTATTGCATCCCACATTACTGAATTTAGAAAATCTTTTATTCCATTACTTCAAGCTCATATGAATGTCGCATCTTTTGGTAATGTCTACCAGAATACTCCTTGGGATCTTTATCCTGAATGCTTGAACTTGTGGAAATTTGATACTAAAAATTGTGTAGTTTCAAAATATCCTTTCTACTTAGCAATCGAAAGTTGTCAAGAAAAGGATTACTCTACTGAAAAACTTTGGGATATATTTAAATTAGGTGTTGTGCCTGTTATATGGAGTGCACCTAATGTTCGTTCATACTTAACACATCATAAATCCGTTATTTTCATTGATGACTTTCCGAATGTTGAAGCTCTTGCAAACTACTTGAGGTACTTGGTTAAAAATGAAACTGCATATTTAGAATACCATAAGTGGCGGACCATGAAATTTTCAGATGAATTTGAGAAGAAATCATATATGAGTATGCGTAATATGGAATGTAATATTTGTAAAGAGGTTGCTAGACTAAGAATTTTAGAAGGTAGAATTTAAATGTTAGAATATAATAAATGGCTTAGAAATAAATTCTTATAGTCTTTAAAACAGTTATACTTTATACTTACAAGTTTGAAATCATATATTGTAATTTATAATAATGTAAAGATGTACAGTTCCTGTATTAATTTTATTAATATTCAAACCTTCTAAATTGGTTTTAATTTCTTTAGCTAATAGACTTATCTTGTTACTTATATCGGTTATATTTCTAAAATAAAATTAAATACAGAAATAGCAAATATTCATGGACTTGAATAGCTTATTCTAAGGAAAATAGAATTAACACCAACTCTTCCTGATGATTACTTGTATTGGAATTTTTTCACCACTGAAAACCAAGAAGTTTGCTAGAGAAGATAGAAGGCACTAAAGTAGTGGTTTTATTGAGGTCAACCTTGCTTGGAGGACTCTAATTTATATTCAATATGCAAGCCAAAAGTGTTGTTATACAGTTAACTGGCAAGAGGCACCCTTGTATAGTGGAGATACAGTATTCTTCTGTTGACAAAACTTTCTAGGCAGTACCTCAAAAGATAACACAAGGGAACCTTTACACTTCTTGAAAAATTTTGTAGATACCTATTTTTACCTTACTCTCTATTTAACACCTATTATGTTTTGGTTTTTTTCAAGAATTTCTGCTAAAAAGTGAAAAATCTGGTGTACTTTCAATAAAAGTTCTGCATTATGTACTATTACCAAATTAGAAAAAAAACCTATGAAATAGTTATAGATAGTCTACATATCTGGCTCATATGTAAAAAGAAAACAACTATTAATCTATTGAGTTCTGAGTAAAAAATTTTTGAAGATTATATATAAAGAGTATATATGTTGTACCCAGATTTGTATCCTTAACATCCCAATTGGTTAAAAATCACGAGGGGGTAAAATTTTTTGTGGGATAGCTACCGTACGTACGTAAATATTTTTTCATTGAAAAATGGTACTGTCCAAAACTCCATTTTAAGTCGTGCTTATCACATAGTTATTGGACTCGTCAACTCGTGGCTCAAACAACCTGAATTTAGCATGATTCGAATCATGTAATTTTTTAACTTGTGAGAAAAAAAACATTACACAAATAAAATTTAAAAGAAGTTTTCCATCCTAATTGAATCCTGAAATATATATAACCTTTATAAATAGTAATTTGAAATTTTAACATAATTCAAATATTCTTTGAGGTTAATTTTTGAATCACGAGCTAAAAAATGAGTCAAATCACTGTATTAGATAATCCGAGTATCCTGATATTAATCATGTGGTGAATCAATGATCCCAACTCCTGCATTTAATATACTTTCTTTATAGTACCCACACATATTATTTAATTTATCTTGAAACTGTATGCAGCGCTGTATGGTATAAATAAAGTTGATATTATTTATGCCAGTATTAAGTTTCTTTTGATTTTACTATATACAGTATTTCCTAAGGATGCTGCAATACAATACGAACACATAGTGAACATAATGCGCAATAATACCCACAAATGTAAAAAAAGAATTAGCCAGGGTGACCCCCAAATGTGCGGGTCAACACATATTAATAACCAGTAGTATATTGCTTTGTTATATGATTCGTTTTAAGAAATTTTTACAATAATAAAGCTGCATGTACGTAGGAGCTAAACGATTCAACCATTTTCTAGGAAATTATGCAGCTCTTATCAAGTGACCCGCACTTTTGGTGGTCGCCCTGACTAATTCGGTTCAAAACAATTATTCACATTGGATATACTGCACCAGAACTTAATCGAGGATTATCGTTATGACGAATTTATGAAATTAAGCTAAATTCGGTCACCAAATCCAAGTATTACATTAGTGGTCATAGGCAGACATTCGTATGATTGGCAGTTTAAATCAAATTAATTTTACATTAATTATACAGTTTAAAGTACTTTTCAAAAAAAAGAAAACTACGAAGATAAACAAAAAAGAAGGATATAGAAAGTTTTATTAGCGTTGAAGGACTCCACTATTAAAAATAATCAAAATTCTTTTTTGTTTTAGAGAAGTTAGCATAATAGCGACTTAAAGATAGATAAAATTAGGTTATCACCATGCTAACTTCTCTAAAACAAAAAAGAATTTTAATAGTGGAGTCCTACAACGCTAGTAAAACTTTCTATATCCTTTTTTGTTTATTCTTCGTAGTTTTCTTTTTTTTTGAAAAGTACTTTAAACTGTATAAATAATGTAAAATTAATTTGATTTAAACTGCCAATCATACGAATGCCTATGACATTAGTGGTCAGAATTTAGGATACCGGTATTACATTACAGCACCTGGAAAATGTGTACCAGGTTGAGCGTCCGGAAAGCTAGATCGGAATGGTATAACCTTCGGAACTAGAAACAAAAATTACGTATTGCAATTTTTTTTTTTTTTGCATTTACAGATTTATTTTTGGAACTGGGATTTTTCTTTTGTGATGTTTTCTTTTTTTTCGAACAATTATTTAGAGCCAAATAGTTGTGTCTTAAAATATGTATTTATTCTTAGATTTTTAACTCAGATCTACGAATTCTTATTTACACGTATACTTATAATAAGATACTCTAATTCAAAAAGTAAATCGAAATTTTAACTGCACTATTCATAAAACTACAATAAAGAACTAGGGCTATTAGGTTTATTATTTCTTAATTCTTAAGGCTAATTTAAACCCAATTTTCTCATCTCTTTTTTTTTTTCTTTTCACATGTAGATACTGTGTAATAGCTATTAGTGATAGGTTTGGTAAGCGAAATTATAGCCCAAATTTTTTTTAGTATATAGATGATTTCTAAAGTGAACTTAAAAAAAGTGATTATTGTATCCAATATCTAGTTGTATTATATTATATATTATATAAAATAATACATCAATTCATAACGATAAGATTATTTTTAACCGGATCAGGCCCCTACATTGAATATTCATAGTACTGTATCTAATATCTGATTTGTATATTTATTCAATGCCTTACTATTAACAGCCTATAAAATAAATCAATTATTTTATCGTTATGATTATCGTTATGATTAGCGATGGGAATTTCTAATTGTTAACTATATAAATCATGTTAACAATTTAATTGTTAAAATGATTTATATATAAATTTATATATAAATCATTTTAACAATTTAATTGTTAATAACATGATTTATATAGTTAACAATTAGAAATTCCCATCGCTAGTTATTCCATAAGCTGAAATAGTAAACTCTATTTAATAATCAAATATTAAATTTGAGCATATATATTATTAACAGGTTGATTCTTTAACATCAAGTCGACTTTGATTAACCATTAATTAACCAATCGGATGCATTAGTTACTGGCTGTAATGATAAAACATTTCGAACAAAGATGCATTGTATAAATGAAAATCAGCACTATACTGTATTTCATCAACAATATAAAACGTTCAAATTGTTTAGATGAATTACACGGTATTTTACTATTACCAAAATTTAAAAATAAAATCCTACACTAACAAAAATTTTATTCCGGGGTCCAAAAATGAATGTAGAAACAATCTACACTAATAAAATTCTATCCAGGGTATAAAGATGGTAAATATAATAGTGTACATAAGTAATTTTCTCTAAAATAAAATAATAATTTGTAAAATAAATATCAGCTTCGTTATAAAACAAATAACAATAATTCAAATCATTTAAATTTCGTTGATGTTTTCTCTCCATTTGGTAAATCGTTCAATAAATGGCTCGATATGCTTTTGATCACTATACGTCGATATGGAAATTAAATGCTGATACGTTGTTAAAAGCTATAAAATTTGAGGAATATAGATATTAAAATGTATAGCATACTAACTTCATTCTCATTTGCCATCAAACCAAATAATAGAACTTTTTAGTCAACAAACCTGATTTTTTAATTGCTCCTGATATTTCACTTCACTGAACCCAGTTCCTGCTAAATTAT